AGAGCACAATGCATTTTTAACAAATTTTTTGTGAGCCTCAACATGATAGAAAATATAGACATTTGTCCTTCATGCATATATTTCCATTGTATCATTTTTAGTGTTTGGTGGCAAAATTAACAAGAGGTTCAAGGGCCTTGAATCGCTCTTCTGATAAACTGTACAACCTATCACTTCTATTTGAAGCCTCTAAGTATCCTGTATATTTAGATAAAGTCTTGAAATTCCAAAGGTACGTCATCAAGACCTACATTTTAGATGAAACACTCTGAGAACCCATGATGATTCTAAGCCAATTAGTACCCGAATTATTTAATTATAGTCATATAAATTGAAAAGTAGGTCACGGTGACTTACTTTTCAGTCGACTTACTCCGAGGACCCAAGATGCATCAACTGACAAAGTTTGATGATGCTAACCCAATTAGTACCCGAAAGATTTAATTAGAGTGATATAAATAGAAAAAAAGTAGGTCATGGTGACCTACTTTTCAGTTGACGTTTTCTGAGGGCCAAAGATGCATCAAATTACAAAGTTTTATGATCATAGGCCTTAAAATGTCCAAATTATGCCTCTAAAACGCTTTGAAATCCAATGCCTGCAAAGTTCAAAAAGTAGGTCACTGTGACCTACTTTTTAATAAATATGTTTTATGGCCCCAAGATGCATCATCTTACAAGATTTAATGATTCTAAACCTCTCAGTATTCGAATTAATGACCTTAATTGTTTTAAAAAAAGATTAGCCATAAAATTCAAAAAGTAGGTCAAGGTGACCTACCTTTTAGTCAACGTACTACGAGGACCCAAGATACATCAACTGACAAAGTTTGATGATCATAGGCCTTAAATTGTTCAAAATATGCCTCTAAATCATTTTGAAAAAGAATGGCCGCAAAATTTAAAAAGTAGGTCACCGTGACCTACTTTTGAGTCAACATGATATGCGGTCCTCATATGCATCAACTGACAAGACTTGATGATCCTAGTCCTTATAGTAAGCAATATATCAACATTTTAATATAATGTAATTTTTGGTCAACTTTGAAGTGACCTTGAGACCATGCCCTTTGCCCTAGGGTGATTCCCCGTACAAATTCTAATCTACAACATATCTTCATCCTTTTGTGTAAGTTTGGTGATAATCTGCCCCGTGGTTCTTGAGAAGATTTTTTAGCAATCAGTGCTTTTGTTTATATTTTCCTAATTAAATGTATCTCCCCTTATTTAAGGGTCACAACCCTAGTTTTAGTAAAAATAGGAGCTGTTGGGCCAAGGATACCCTGTAACAAAGTTGACAATAATTGGCCAAGGGGTTCTTGAGTTATGGCCCATATTCTATAAAGTTTACGCACACTGCACAAATGGCCATAGCATTAGTTCTTTGAGCCTTTGGCTCAGAAGAGCTAAAAATGGAAACCTCCACCGATTATTCTACTTTTCAGTTAATGCTGTGTTTTTCTTGTCGAATACATAACCTTTATAACAATAAGTCTGCAGATTTCCCATCCCTCATGTGAGAAATAGTGCAAAATTCTACATTTCCTCTATGATATGATTTTTAAAACATCTGTTAGTATAAATAGAAATGGAAACCTCCACTGAATGTACTGCATTTCAGTTAATGCTGTCTTGCTCTTGTCAGTCGCCTTATGTCAACAACAGTAAATAACAGTTAGTCTGCAAATTGTCCATCCCTAATGTGAGAAACAGTGCAAAATTCTACATTTTTTAATAATTTGCAGTATGTCTATTTTTAAACATTTGTTACTATAAATAGAAATGGAAACCTCCGCTTATTATTCTGCATTTAAGTTAATGCTTTCTTGTACGTGTTGTTCCCTTTATGTTATTAACAGTTAATAGCAGTTTGTCTGTAAATTGTCCATCCCTAATGTGAGAAAATAGTGCAAAATTCTACATTTTCTTGATAATTTGCAGAATGTCTATTTTTAAACAATTGTTACTATAAATAGAAATGGAAACCTCCGCTTATTATTCTGCATTTCAGTTAATGCTCTCCTGTACTTTTCAGTCACATTTGTCAGTTACAGTTAATGACAGTTAGTATGCAAATTGTTCATCTCTAATGTGAGAAATAGTGCAAAAATCTACATTTCGTCGTTAATTTCCCATGTGTCTAATTTTAGACATTTGTACTATTCATAGAAATGAGAGCCTATCCTCAATAAAGTGTGAGTTATTGTATTATCCCTTGTTCTAATTGATGAAATATTGGTGAGAGCAGTATGTTTATCATTTATGTTTTAGTGGAGTTTCTAAATGATAGAAAATAGTCATTTTTACACATATTATGAGACATGTCTATTTTAAGGCATTTGAAGCTATAAATAGAAAACGGAACTCCCTTCAAATAATATGCATAGTAGTTCTTGGTGTCCAGTTTCTGTCACTAACATATTGACTTTTACAGTATATTTCTTAAATACCTAACAATGACATCTTAAACTCTGCCTAAATTTGATTTTTTAGATTTTTCTGAAATATGTCTATTTATAGATACATGTTACTAAAAATAGTATTGAGATCCCACTCCAATTTTTTCATGAGGTGACACTCCTAATTATGAAGTATGAAAACACACATAAGATTTGAAAAATTTCCGTAGACAATTTTTTTTTTATTTAACCTTAAAGTTCTCAAAAAATATCAAATTTCCCATTTTACACATTTTCAGAAACTATGTCAATTTACAGGACCTTTTTCTTATAGTGGGAATAATTCTGGAATAACCGATTATATGCCCTGTATACCTTAAAAGTTGATGTTTTCTTATGATACAATGATTTATGTTTGAGTTTACTACATAAAGATAAAAATGCATTTACATTTTTTTTATTTGGTCAAAAAGGGCCAAAAATGGCCAAATTCAATGGATCCGTCTCCATGGCAACCGGATGCACGTGTGAAACTTCTAACACCATATTTACTAGTTTTGTGCCAAGATGCACCTGTGGTGCAAATTTCATCAAAATCGGAGAGATGTCGTTTCGATTTTTTGGTGCTTACAGAGAATGCATGTTAAAACCATTTTAAGAACTTAAGAAACATAAGAAAAACATTCCCATGTTAAAATCAATATAAAACATTCTCTTTTTTCATAATTGTGTTATTAATAATTTTTCTCAGAGAGTTTCCATACTTTGAAATATGACGTCACAACAGCATCAAAACAAAAAATTACGAGAATATTTGAAGTCCTCGCGGTTTGTATCCAGATAACTGTGGTTAAGAAGCAAATACATATAAAATACATGGTTACTGTCTTGAAATATAAGCGATATTTGGGCGAGGGTAAGAAAACGTGATAGAGGGCGAGGCTTGCCGAGCCCTCTATCACGTTTTCGACCCGAGCCCAAATATTGCTTATATTTCAAGACAATATCGATGTATTTTGTTTATCCTGCAACATATTTTTACATGACCTTCAAAACGAGCTATTTTCAATCGACTTAGGTACATCTCTGCAGTTGAATATTTGGCTTAAACATTGCAATATTCATGACGTCACAATGCTTTTAGAACGTCGGAATACATCCACGAGGCTTTATTAGGGCATTGACCGAATAAAGCTTTGGTTTATTAGGTTACCTTTATTAGGTCAATGCAAGGGGTGGTTGCAGGATAAAATATATATTGTATGTGATTTATTGAAATAAGGTGGAATAATCAGGTCTACTGATTTTAATGTCATGTTTTTTTCTTCACTGGAGACAAGCACCCGTGGCATTATGCAGGCCAGGATTTCCTCTGATCGCCTTAGCTCTAGTTAGTTTAGACTCTACGATGACACACGGTTCATTCAGATATCCTTTTACTATAATTCCAGGAAATTTTATTGAGCAGATCAAAAGTATACCACGTCTAGTGTAGCAATTTATATTTGTTAATTCGGAATATTGTACATCAATCAAGTAAATTTTCATTACCAACAATCAATATTAAAAAAAAGAGTGCACCCAATTCCGAATTAGGAATAAATATCCGTAATAAAGGGTACCTTTACTATTTAGCAAAATATCTGGAGATGTTTTCCTTTGTTTAAAGGAATGTTTGCTATGTAGAAAACCTTCCCCGGGGAAAATTAACTAATATAGTAGAATACATGAGAGAAACATTTGCTATAATTAATATGTAATAATGTAATTATTCAGAGGGGGAAGATTTACTATATACATTTCATGGGAGAAGTATTGCTATGAGGAAGGTTAACTATACAACATCGGGCGCTTGGCGAAGGAACAGGCACCACAAACATAGATGTTCAAGATAGACGTTGCGCCGGGAATCAAACCCAGACCTGCCGATCACAAAACAGGTGCCCTACCACTAGACTACCTGTGTTCATTTCCAGAATGTAAGAATGTATTGATTGCAGGTTCTACAAGGGTATCATACACATATGCATAGAATGTATGATGAATTGTCAAAAAAGCAATAAATAAACGTTAAACAATTAATCGAAAAATAAAATGATTTCTTTGTTTGTTAATGCAGAACTTAATTATTGAACCATACCAGAGAAAAATCAAATAAGCTGTGTTAGCTTTTTTCCTTCAGTGATTGCAACCCTTAATCCTGCAATAACAAAGAAACACATTACATGTATAAATAATCGTATAAAAAAGGTTTAAATATGTGAAATATTGTATTATTGACCGGTACGTCACGGTTTGTTTCATTGAGAGAAGAGCCACTCCTTAAGAAAATTTTCATAAAGGCGGTTCTAACTAGTTTATTCAGAGTAAGTGGACGAATGAAGGAAAGTAGTTTTCATAAGAAATAAAGGAGAGAATATTCAGTTGATGTAAAAATAGAAAGATAAACGTCGGTACATTCCTTTTGGGATCTATCAATTACAGGTAAACATACCGGTAACACATTTTCTCATTCAACGATCTTGATTTGTCCATTTGACTTTGAAAGAAAAATATCAACTCAAAAGACAACATTCACTTCAGGTTATCATATTTGTTTTATTTATTGACTAGGTGGAGGAGTTGAGGGCGGACAGTACATTTTAGTACAGGCAACCACGCCCCCAGCAGCACAGAAACACCGATTACATCCGTCATCAGCAGGGAACCCTTCCCCAACGTTATACATTTTTCCATTATAATCACACACCTCTGAAACAACACAGAACATCAATTATCCTGAACAGGTTTCATAAAATAACAGATAAAAGGTTATCCAAAACTCCTTAAAGAAGATATTTCAAAATTTTGTAGGTTTAATGTAATGAAATTTGCCATAAATCTGCTTAAGTTGTACAATTGATTCAGGTATTTATTGTAGTACAATTTAGCTACGTTTTTCTGCACACATGGATTAAGGTAAATTTGAGTGTATACTTGATATGCAAAGTTTTGTTGTGCAGGAATAGGATCCATCATCTGAACATTTGCAAACATTACATCCATCTACGCTGTTAAATGTCACGCCCTGCTCGTACTGACGTCCATTGTAAATACAGCCTAAAGAATTCATAAAGAAATGTTAAGTCACTGCAAAGATTCAGCTCGACCAGAGTAAAATAAAAGACTTGTTAATTACACTAATGTATAACCTAGAAAGACATCTATCCATAGTGAAATATGCTTATAAACAATACAAATGAAAAAAGTCTACTTTGTTTTTAAAGAGAAGGTTATTTTGAATGGAGAGGAACTGATTTGCTAACCTAGACTACTTTAGACAAACGTTTTTATCTAAATCCATGTTAAATCACAGGTTTTGCTCATAGGCACTCCCCAGCTACTATGCTATAAACAAAACAAGGCATGAAACTAGCCTCTATGTTGGATTCCGCTTAGGGGCACTTTCTGACTAATAGCGAGAATTTCTCGCCCAAGTCGGACTTTTCTCAGACATTGGAAGCTGTCATTTATTGAAATAAAATCAAATCAGGTTGAACCCTGCAGTACGTTTGTCGCATTCACGCGTTTTCTAACATTTTCATGCAAATCGAGTCTCCTCGGCCGGAACTTAAAGGTTTATGGGGGTATAGATAATTCGATCGTCGTTTACCTTCAAAGTGCATCTCATGGAAAGCTGACGTTGTTTTTCATAACGAACGAATGTACCGTGAAATAGATATAATCTTACATCAATAGGACCTTGCAATATTTTATATACATTTTCAGGCCCATCAAAAGCTGTTTCAGTGTGTGTTTATGTGTGTACTGGGGAGGAGGGGGGGGGGGTCAACCGAACACCATATTCTTTGACAAGAAAATATATTAGGCCTATTGAAGGAGGACAATCGTAAGATAGGTTTGTTTTCTATTGCATAGTATTAGCATATTCATGTATTGGCAAAATTATAGGGGTGAAAGGAAGGGGGCACGTTTAAGGAGATGAGTCGTCAATACAGAGGTGGATTTAACCGGGGGGAAGGGGTGGAGTAAAATGTTTAGTAAATAAATATAATAAAATAAAGCAGATATTTGCAGAAGTAAGTTCTGCACGAAAATTTCTAAGATATATTGGAAGAAAAGGAACTATACATAGGGAAAAGACTTGGCTTTTTTTTTGGGGGGGGGGGATTCAATGATGGTGCAGAAAAACAGAATAATACAATTCGGAAGACGACAACTTGATTCTAAAGGGGGGGGGGGCTGGTATTTTTTTTCAAAATGTTTATTTACATGTCATTGAAGGACAGATTATTTATTTCAAAGATGATTTAGAACAGTTTTTTTTTTTATTTCTACTACACCAAAAAAATGTGGGTAGGAAAAAATAAAGAAAATTAGAGTGTGTGCGGGGAGCGGAGGAAGGGGGGTTACCATCAATCAAAGTCAAATAATTTATTTTCTTCTTAGTGGAAAATAGATTTTTTTTTCAACATTTTCAAGGACAGATTTTTTTCTTCTCCAAAATCTGCCAGCACCTATCAGAATCAAATAGTTGTCCCCTCAGAATTACGCATCACGAATTGAATCCTTTACTGTAGTTGTGACTTGTCATGTGCAAATTCAGTCACACTTTATAATCTTGCACATGAAGCAATTAATAGTTTAGCATTTGTGTATATGTTTGTGTTTATATGTGGTTTTTGCAGTGAAATCAGCGCGGGGCGGGGCTCAGGAACTTCATTGTTATGACATATACATAGTAAACTAGTCTATTAAATGACTCCTAATCTAGCTGTCTTTGCATTTGCTAACTGACTGAAGCTGGTTCTCGGTCAAAACTAATGCCATACGTGCTATCATTCTCAGTGGAACTCTGTAATAAAATCGACAAAGAGTGAGCTGATGAAGTTAGTTTCAGCTTTTTTAAATATTAACGGTGATGTGCCAAAATATAAATGTTTAGAAATAATTGCCCTCACAAAATATTTAAAACATCCAAACCACTTATATAATATTTTAGTGAAAATTTTGAACTTATTAAACTTTAGACTGTCCCATTTTATTATAGTTACCTGTATGAATCCATGTATTAGAAATAAGTCCCGCTATCAGGATAAAATATACATGTACTTGTATATTTATTTATTTTGCAATAAAAGTAATACTTATAATACTTGACATGTATGTAAGTAATACACTTTACAGAGACGAATCCGGGATTTCAAGGGGGAGGGGGCTGTCAAAAAGATTAAGTGGCGATAGAAACTCATAATACTTGTAGTTAAAATTAGTACTAAAGCGTATATAATCCATTGGCAATGTTGACTTATAGACTAACGGGTTGACAATATATTTTCATAAGCTCAAGTACATGTATCTGCTAGACTTCTTTTTATCAATAGAAGTAATAAAAATGCAAAGATAAATCGTGCCCCCTCCTTTCACACCTATAATTTTGCCAATACATGAATATGCTAATACTATGCAATAGAAAACAAACCTATCTTACGATTGTCCTCCTTCAATAGGCCTAATATATTTTCTTGTCAAAGAATATGGTGTTCGGTTGACCCCCCCCCCCCCCCCAAGTACACACACACAAACACACACTGAAACAGCTTTTGATGGGCCTGAAAATGCTTATTATAAAATTTTGCAAGGTCCTATTGATGTAAAATTATATCTATTTCACGGTACATTCGTTCGTTATGAAAAACAACGTCAGCTTTCCATGAGATGCACTTTGAAGGTAAACGACGATCGAATTATCTATACCCCCATAAACCTTCAAGTTCCGGCCGAGGAGACCTGATTTGCATGAAAATGTTAGAAAACGCGTGAATGCGACGAACGTACTGCAAGGTTCAACCTGATTTGATTTTATTTCAATAAATGACAGCTTCCGATGTCTGAGAAAAGTCCGACTTGGGCGAGAAATTCGCGCCATTAGTCAGAAAGTGTCCCTAAGCGGAATCCAACATGGAGGCTAGTTTCATGCTATGTTATGTTTATAGTTATGTTTATGTATATAGTATAGTAGATATATATTTTTTAACAATTAAGCTGGGGAGTGCCTATGGCTTACATAAACTAGAAAGTACATCTAACTAAGTCTCAATCCCTTTTAAAAAAATATCATTTTAAATTCAAATGAGTAAACCTCTAAGACAAGCCCTTTCTGTGCACACTGTGAGTCCGGATTCTGTACAGGTACATGTATTGCACCCATCCGTTGAGGGGTAGGTACTTCCGGACTTATGATCAGTTCCGTTGTAGTGGCAGAGTAACACTACAATACATCAAGGGTGAAAAGTCAAGACATACTCTTTCATTTCATATTACTCGTATTTTCATAATTACATTTGGAAGTTAATAAATGATAAGAAGCAGTCATACTTGGTCCACAGAACATTTCTGTGCACAAGGCCCCGCCATGCGCTGAACAGTAACAGGTGTTACACCCATCTGTCGCCCGGAAGCTATCACCGGCCCAGTAGGTCTTGCCGTTATAATGGCATCCGCCAGTCTGAGGGGCGGCAGGAGTTGTAGTTATCTCCCCTACATTAAATCAATTTATTATTTTCACAAAAATTTAGAAATCTTGAAAATATGTCTATTGTCTGTCGCTGTCAATATTCCCATGACTGAGCGATAATATGCGAGGTTATCAATGTATAAGATCAATTCTACAGCTGCACAATTCTAAAGAAGGGCATGGATACATTACGATTAGAATTCAATACTCCTCACGTTTGCCTACAGGTTGTGGGGCAGCTGTCGTGGTTTCAGTACCAATACACGCCATTTCTGTACAGGCAGACCCGTGTAGAGTACAGAGACAATGATTACAACCATCAGATGCCAGGAACCGGTCTCCTTCTACGTAGCTTCTTCCATGATAGGTACATCTGTCTATGTTAATATAAAAAATAACAAACTTGAACTATTTATACATGTATGTACATGCTTATTTTTTAAAAGATATGTGAGCTAGCACTGTATCCATCAAAAATCACATTATTAGATATCTGAACAGTTGGTTTAATTTGTTGATTATTTATTGATATGAAGTCAAAGTGGTGCACTTGTTCAGGTGACGTTAGGAACGGGGAACAGGGGGTCTCAATTCAAAATGGTGAATAGTTAATTTAGAATGGGTTTCACGTCGTCCTTGCCATAAATGTACCTCTAGCATTCAGTAGTTCACTGTACATGTAATTTGAATTTTAGGTGAAAAATACAGTTATTTAAAAGATAAGTACATGTGTATGACCACTGAGTTCCTAGTTTAAAATATTCCAGTGTGCAACTGTTTTTGGCAATAAGAATTGATAACACATATCAAATCTAGGCCAACTCTTAGACCGAAAGAGTCGAAAAAGTATTCCCGAATCGTCTTGGGCCTATTTTCATCAAATTTTGGACTGCCCTATGGCTGCCTGCTCTGTCATGTACTGTTTATTCTAGTAGCTCTTTAGATGCATGCTAAAAGTACTGAATTTTTAGGGAAAGGAACGAGAGGCATTATACTTAAACGTTTTCTTTAACGTAAAGGTAACACATAATGTATACAAATGTACAAAAATGTCGACTACATAAATGAATGCTCTTTTCAAAACTTTTATATAGGACTAGAATTAGATTCTGTTAATGAATCTAACTATTTCCAAATAAAGGTTACTACCACTTTAGAATAGAAAAAAGTGAGCTGTTTAAAACGTATGTAACGTATAGAACGTCATATATATATATATATATAGAAATTAAACATGAGCTGAGACAAGCATTTATGGAGGAGTGAAATCTCATCACTTTATGAACAAGAGGCCCAAGGGTCTTGAATCGCTCTTATTATAAACTGCACAACCTATCACTTCTATTTGAAGCCTCTAAGTATCCTGTATATTTAGATAAACCCTTGAAATTCAAATTCACACTCTGAGAACCCAAATGTTGAATAAGTTGGGAAAGAATTATAGTACATGGAATATTCTTGGATTTTAAGAGAACTGGGAAATCTGCTTAGATAAGATGTAAAGATAGTCTGTGGTACAAAGAGAGTGTTGTTGCTTGCAATAAAAAAAGAATCGATCGTTAAAAAGATGAACCACATCTGATCATAAAGACAACATCCTAATAGAGACATAGATAAAACAAAGAATTTTTAGTTTCAACTTACGGGGAAATGTGCAATCGCCTGTGGTACAGTGCATCCCGGATTTGTAGCACGTGCAGAGATTACATCCATCGTCTGCTATCCACGTGTCTCCCACTGAGTACGAAACACCGTCTAGATGACATACAGCTACAAATAATGTACAGTAAAAGTCTGAAGTTATACATTTAATCTACTGAGTACGACACACAGTCTAGATTACATAGAGCTACAAATAATGTACAGTACATGTATGAAGTTGGATCTACTGAGTACGACACACCGTCTAGGTGACATACAGCTACAAATAATGTACAGTACATGTATAAAGTCATACATTTAATCTACTGAGTACGACACACCGTCTAGATGACATACAGCTACAAATAATGTACAGTACATGTATAAAGTTATACATTTAATCTACTGAGTACGACACACCGTCTAGATGACATACAGCTACAAATAATGTACAGTACATGTATGAAGTTATACATTTAATTTACTGAGTACGACACACTATGCCATACAGCTACAATTTAAGCAATTTACAGATACATTTAATTTACTGAGTACGACACATCGTCCAGATGACATACTGCTACAATAATTTACAGTTCGAGTATAGGGCTATAAATCTAATCTACTGTGTACGACACATCATGACATACAGCTACAAATAATTAACAGAACAGGATGGAATTATACAAGTCATTTAATTAATTGAGTACGACCCTCAGTCCCGAAGACATACATCTACAGGTAACATACAGTACTACGGGATGGAATGACACATTTCGGAAAAAAAATGGGTACAGACTATAGTATTTTGTAAGGTATGTATACCTTACAAAAAATACTATAGTCAACTATATTTTTCTATAGTTAACAATAGTCTACTTTGGTATCAAAGTTTTCACCATAGTGAAACATATTTTTTACTGTAGTTAATCAAAGTATTTTATTATAAATTTCAAATTATTATATTTTACTTTCATAATTGCAATCTTCTTATATAAAAAGGACACATTACTTGAATATTTACATATTATTTTCAAAAGTTAAATTATGTGTATGTTATTTAAGAGATACAAAAGCTCTAAATCTTAGGAAAAAAATTCTTGCGTTGTTTCATATAAATAAATCAAAGTATTTACTTTAGTTAACTATAGTAAATCTTTGTTAAATATACTTCTTATTTCGTAGAATCGAAAGGGGAAGGAAGAAGCTCCTGAACTTGAAGCAGTGTAATAAAATAGTGGGCCGGGGCTATGTAAACTAAAGATCCCTGATGTATATGAAAGACGAGAGAGTTCACGTCGAAAAATATTTTTCAGATATGAAATAGTAGTATCTTTGAAAGGAAATTGATTTAATTGTTTGAGATGTGAATAACTAAACAGTTTGGAATTTTCCTACTTTAACTTTCATTTTCAGATGTGCTTTACAGCGAGACGAGTCTGATATTCCACGTAGAGATTTTGATCAGTGAAAAAAGAATGAATTTGACGAAATCGCATTTGAGAATGCCTAATTATTCAACTAAAATAAGAGGAAAAGGTAACATTGTCGCCTATGTGTAAAAGATTCAAATGTTCAATGAATGGTCACTGAAAGGTGTCTTTCATTGATCATTACATGGCCAAGAAGTCAACTGAATTGCAAGCGCATTTAAGTTTTTTTTTTTTAATTACGATATGTATCCACTTTGAGATTCTATCCAGGTGACATCCACCTCATAATCGAATATACCCAATACGGCACTGCAAATTAAGGGCAATGGGCATAATGTTATCATTCATTTGCATGTGATTTACTTTCATATTCTATGCTAGAATTCAATACACTCATATAAAAGATCGCAGTATTTTTGAATGACCATGGAAAGGTAATAGAATGGTCATTGAAGGGTCAAGCAAAGGCCAGTGGAAGTATAATTAAAATTAGATAGTGGAATGCTCATTGAAATGTGACAGAATGGTTAACTGAAAGATTACTGAAATGCGCCTGCCATTTAGTTACTGTATGGTCAATGAATGCTTTTTTTGTGTTGTGTTGTGCACTTGTTTATATTGTAAGTAAGCAACTCTTTTATATTTTATCAGAACAATGTAATTTTCGTTCGAAGACCAGGGACCTTGCTTTTTTTCCTTTAAAATTATAAATTTTTAAGTTTTAGTCTTCATAAACATCCCTATCTAAATGTACACGTAAAAACACTCTTCAACACGCTAGACTACAAACAAAACCTAAGCCAACTGCACTTACGCCAAAAAAAAAAATAAATTAAAAAATAAAAAAAAACTAGATGCGATCTCGTTGCGAGCAACGAGTGGGTCTTCCGTCCGATTTTTGATAAGATGAGATACGAATTTGACTGAGATTTTCGTTCATAAATATATAAATAGTGAAAACGTACAATTTGCTTCAGTTATGTTTAACAAAATTTTGATCATTATGGCACCTAAAAACGCAATGTTTGATGAAGATTTCAAAATATTTATAGTAGCAGATCGTAAAGATGAACATTACTGTAAAGGGGTTATAGATAAAAGACTTTTGGCCCCTCTGAGCCCCTAATTCGAGGGGTCAGCCCCTTTTTCTTGATATAACAGAAAGGTCTTGTAATTCTGAAGACTTTTTGTTCAACAAGTATTCAGAAGTTTCGTTTCGTTTTCGAGATATGTAGACTTGAAATATTTAGGGGCCGTCCCTTTAAGTCCTTATAGGGGCTGTTTAGGAAAATTCAAAAGATGCACATTGTTGAAAACATCATTCTAAACAACTTTTGTTCAATATTGATTTTCAAAATGTTTCCCCCTTTCGAGATATAAAGCGTCAAAAATTAAGCATTCTGGCCCCTTATGGCCTCTAATTACGTAATATTTGATGAAAATTTTAAGATATATAGTTGCAAATTGTGAAGATGAACATTTTTGCTTCAATAATTAATATCAAAATATTTAATGTTAAGGAGTTATAGATGAAAGACTTTTGGCCCCTCTGAGCCCCTAATTCGAGGGGTCAGCCCCTTTTTCTTGATATCACATGAAAGGTCTTGTAATTCTGAAGACTTTTTGTTCAACAACTATTCAGAAGTTTCGTTTCGTTTTCGAGATATGTGGACTTGAAATATTTAGGGGCTGTCCCTTTAAGTCCTTATAGGGTCTGTTTAGGAAAAATTCAAAGGATGCACATTGTTGAAAACATCATTCTAAACAACTTTTGTTCAATATTGCTTTTCAAAATGTTTCCCCTTTTCGAGATATAAAGCGTCAAAGATTAAGCATTCTGGCCCCTTATGGCCCCTAATTACGTAATATTTGATGAAAATTTTAAGATATATAGTTGCAAATTGTGAAGATGAACATTTTTGCTTCAATAATTAATATCAAAATATTTAACGTTAAGGAGTTATAGATGAAAGACTTTTGGCCCCTCTGAGCCCCTAATTCGAGGGGTCAGCCCCTTTTTCTTGATATCACATGAAAGGTCTTGTAATTCTGAAGACCTTTTGTTCAACAAGTGTTCAGAAGTTTCGTTTCGTTTTCGAGATATGTGGACTTGAAATATTTAGGGGCTGTCCCTTTAAGTCCTTAAAGGGGCTGTTTAGGAAAAATTAAAAGGATGCACATTGTTGAGACCATCATTCTAAACAACTTTTGTTCAATATTGCTTTTCAAAATGTTTCCCCTTTTCGAGATATAAAGCGTCAAAGATTAAGCATTCTGGCCCCTTGTGGCCCCTAATTATGTGCCATACGACGTAAAAATCATAATATATAGTTGTAAATTGTTTAGATAAATATTTTTGCTTCAGTAATGTATACCAAAATATTGCTAGTTTAAGAGTTATTGATTAAAGACTTTTGGCCCCTATCGGCCCCTAATGTGATGAGTCAGCCCTTTTTTCTTGATATCATTTTACAGATCTTGTCATTCTGCACAAATTTTATTCAATATGTTTTAACAAAATTATTATACTTTAAAAGATATGATACAAAATGTCTCAAAAATTCACTCATGATTCGTGTCCTAAATTTCGACCCCTACCGAGCTTCCATACTAGGCACTTCCGGAAAATATCTAAACCCAGGTGCATAATGGCAACATGTCCTCTATCATCACTGAAAATTTCAGAGCTCTAGCTTAAGCCGTTTTTGAGTTCCATCGCAGACAAGGAGGTGCTCTGAATTTTAATAAAAGGGCGATAACTTCCGTCCGGAAGTGATTTTCAAAAAACGATATTGCCGGAATTAACTTCAGATGTCAACGCATCTACCATGAAAATTTGAATAAAATCGAACGAGCCATCTCCGAGAAATCTTCTGCACAAATTTTGTAAAGAAAAAAAAGAATAATAACTAGATGAGATCTCGTTGCGAGCAACGAGTGGGTCTTCCGTCCGATTTTTGATAAGATGAGATACGAATTTGACTGAGATTTTCGTTCATAAATATATAAA